GACATGCCATCACTGTCCAAAGTACTCGGGGTCTGCTGTCACTGGCGATGATGTTTCTGAGAGCAGCTGTGAACGAATGTGCACAGGACACACACTTCCCACAATGGGGACGCCATGCACTGTGTCTGGAGAGCTGAAGGTCCTGGAGCCGCCCCCCTCCCCCCAGGATGACCGACAGGTGTTTCCTTTCAGTCTGGTCCCGAACGCGGAGCCGAGGCAGGAGGCGCCCTCTCACCTCGTCGAAGATCTCCAGGTAGAAGGAGTCCACGCCCGGGGGCACCGTGCAGTGGATGACCTTATTCCAGCGCGGGTTCTTGGCACCATTGTGGGCCGTGGGCGTCTCGTACACGGCGTAGCCCAGACGCAGCCGGCAGTATGGGTCCATGCGGGTCACGCCGTAATTCTTTGCCAACTTGGCCTGAAATAAAGCTGACGTCAGGACACAAGGCAGCCTCCGTCACAGGCTCACCTGTCGCCTACCCCCTTTAAAGTACCCCTCCCAGCATCTTCCAGGTCTGTCTGGCCATTTAAATCACAAATATGGCTATGACTGTGCTCCTGGCACCAGGCAAAAAGAATGTCACCACCACAAGTCTGGTGCCGTGACTAGCAGGCATGACAACGCTGCAGATGCAGCGAGGGCACAGCGGGGCCACAGTGCAGGTCCTCCGACCCCCTCAGAGCGGGCCGCTGAGCAGGGTGACAGGCAGGCTATCCCGGGACAGAGCCAGGAGCCAGAGAACAAGGGGCACGAGAGGCCCAGGACAGGCGGGGTCCACAGGGGCCTTCCCTGCGCCCAGGGTGGGGCTGACACGCCTCGGACCAGCTGCACCGGCTCCCCAGGACGGGGTGTCTCCCAGGGCCCGCGGCTCACGTAGGCCAGAAGCCCAGCCTCGAGCCAGACGGGCTCTTGGCACGGCAGGCTGCTTCCACAGGGAGGAGAAGCAAGTCTTGAAGAGTAAGAAAGACGAAGGCTCTGGTGGGTTAGGTCATCGGCTAGCAATAATTTACTCCAGGTGGATTACAGGCCTAACTGTGAAACCTAAAACTATGTAAGTCCTACGAAAGAAACAGGAGGACATCTCTGTGACCTTGGCCCAGGAAAGCACAGTCCATGGAAGAAAACGTGGGGTGCTGGACGTTAAGGCGGCCTGCTCCCTGAACGACGCTGAGAAGAGAGTATCTGCAAACACCTGTGTCTGGTAAGGACCTGGGTTCCAAATGTATAAGCAACTCGCAAATCTTAGGAACAAGAACACGGCCCAGAGGAAAAATGGGCAGAAGAACTGCAAAGGGATCCTGACGGCAAATAAGCACACAGAGCGGTGGTCCCACTGTCAGGCCCCGGAGATGCAGACTCGCCCCCTGGAGACCCTGGAACCTCCGGGGAAGGCTCAACCCGCCCCACCAGCCAGAGCGGGGCCCGCTGACCAGCCCTGGGAGCCTGGTGGGAAGCCAACAGCGCGGCCCAGGGAGTGAACCACAGCCACCCGTGACGGGGGGACTCACTCCCAGGCATGGCCACGCCATCACACAGAACCCTGTGCCTCCTCACGTCATGTCTTAACAAAACGTGTTACCTGAATTAAAAACACTCCACTGCTAAGTGTCTGAGCCTCCGCGAGGAGTCAAACCGTGGCTGGTGCAGGGTCTGCCTCGCTTTGCCGTTCTGCCTCCGCCTGGCCCAGAGCGAGGGGCCTGCGTCCGGAGGGGCGCTCCCAGCACACGAGGGTCCCTGCACCCCGCCCTCTGTTTCCGACTGACTGTGTCTACTTCTTTCTGTCTCCGCCGGTATGGAACTATGTGTTTTTCACTTATAACCACAGCTGTGACCATCCTTCGGTGGCAGGACTTCTCCATTCTTGGGTTCTTAATTCTGACCTCTTTCTTGGGTGGGTTCTTTGTGATGGCGTGGCCAGTGCCTGGGAGTGAGTCCCCCCATCACTGGGAAGCTCCTGGTGACATGCGTTAGCCTTCAGACAGCTTCAAATATTCTTCTACCGTCCTCAGCACCAATTTGCTAGAGCAGCTCTCAAGCCTGCAAACTTCCCCTGAAAACTCCTTAGAAACTGCCCTGGCGTTTTCTGTGAAATACACAGGAGCATCTGAGGCCGGCTGGCTGCCGTAGCCCCCAGGGACCTGTTTACATTTCGCTTCGGCCTGGCCGCTAAGACCCTTTCATCTCAACACCTTAAAGAACATCAGGACCCGCCAATTACTTTGCACAAGTGAGGCTCCTCTTCACCCAACACTGACCCAACTCTGTGGCTGTCACTCTCCTCACTCGTTCTCTGTCGCCCAGCAGAGGCCCCGCCATCCCTCTGCTGTGGCTGCACACTCCTCCAGTCCCCTCTGCTCCGTGGGTGGACTATGCAGGCCTGTCCCTGACACTCTAAGTGGCTTTCCTGTGGTGTCACATTCCACATGTGTGAGGAAACGCCATCCTGCTCATCCTGATCCTTACTGGGTGTGACTCCTGTGGGGCCATCCAGCAGGCGCCTGTGCCTCCCACAGCTGCGTGCAGCAGGCACACATCACACACAGTGTGTGTGACAGCACTGCCCACTATGGGGAGTGACCAGGTGAGAGCAATGGGGCACACGGGAACATGGGGTGCTCCTGAGGTAAGGAAGCAAGAGGGGTCCTTGGGGAATGTTCCTGGGGGAGAAAAGGATCAGGGAGGTGGACAGCGGGGAAGGGACCGAGCAGAGAGACCTGCTATGCCACACTCGGGCCACCCCAGGGGCTGGCAGTGGGGCAGGCAGTGCTTCAGTCTGGACCGCAGAGGATGCAGCCGAGAGCTTGTGAGTGTGCGAGGGAAGTCAGGGGTAGCCCGGGTTTGGAGGCCTGAGCTTCTAAATGGATGGAACTGCTGCCTGCTGACGCTTGGAAGAAGCAGGTTGTGGGGGTCTGGAGGCAAGAGCTCCATTTAGGGTGTGTCACATCTGAAACCCCTACAGGACACGCAGGGAGAGGCCCCGAGGGCTGCATGCACGAGTGCAGCTGAGCTGAGCGGCCGGCTGGGGACTGAACCCCCTATCAGTCCACCAGCCCAGGAGACACAAGGGGACACGGTTGGGGGCAGCAGGCCAAGGGCCAGTGCGCAGCCTCTGTGAGCCAAGAGAAGGTTTATTACAAAGGAAGTGGAAGACCATGGGTACTGCCACCAAAATGCCAAACAGGTGAACTGGGGGCTCCTGACCACGGGCCTGGGCCCACGGAGGACCTCGTGTGCGTGGGGCACCCTGCAGTCCCGAGGTGCCAGCAGGAAGCAGCATTCGTGACAGCAGGGCATGAATTCACTGATACCGGAGGGCATGCAGAGGGGGTACCGTGCTGTCCTAGAAATACGAGCGAGGGTGTAAGGTGCGTTGTGATGGACGGGGGGCTCAGCTAAGAACCCCAGCAGCACCTAGGGCGTCGCCGAGCCTCTGCCGCAGTTCAGCACCTGAAAACCCCGCTTCACTCGCGAGGCCCAATAGGTTCCCATGTCTACTGTGCTGTGACTCGTGTGACGCCGTGGGGCTCAGTGACTGCCCCGCTTCACGGTTCTGTAGGAAGTTCGGGTGGCCTCCTAACAGTGTACTTTGTCTGGGCCATGAGCAGCGCGCAGGCTCCAGGGCCCGACAGCAGAGCCGCCCGCCCTGGCCGTTTCTCGTGCCCTCATCTGGACACTGGCGGCACATCTACTGCCCACCCCCCACCCCTGGCTGCCCCAAAGGGCGGGGGAGACCGTCTGCGTGAAGAGGCAGTGCCCAGCATGGAGCAGGCGCCAACAGAGGCTCACTGCTAACGATTCTAAGGGTTTGGGAGCACCCTGGGTCACTTATCAGCGATGCTTCTCACGTGTACCATTTTTCATCAGATGTATGTTTTAGGAAAAAGTGGAATCAGAAAAAGTTCCACGTGTCCACAAAGAAAATATGGCAGGAAAGCCCACACCCACCCGTGGCTGCCTGACCACCCTGGGGAGCGGGAGGCAACACCCACCTGCACCACCGTGATGTTGAGTCGGCCCACTGTGCCCATGGCCCCTCCGTATTGCAGCTGCTGGGCCGCCTGCGCATCCAGCTGGATCTGCTGCTGCTGCTGCGTGGGCGCTATGCGCAGGAAGTCCTGTGGGAGCTCGCCGATGTACACCTGGCAGGGAGGAGAGGGCACAGCGTCAGCCTCCAGGAGGGCAGGCCCCGCACTTCTAGGCCAGGGGCCCAGCTGCACTGGGCCTCACTTTCTTCACCTAGAAAGTGAGGGGCCACCGGGGTCAGGGTTCCAGCCTGGGGGTCCCTCATCACTGGCCACCATGCTGGCACGGGAGCCCTCTGCCAGGCGGCAGACACTCAGCGCACACCGGCTCTGTGAAGGTCATGACACACTGCTGCCACAAAAATGTAGGTTCACACCCAGAACGGGCTCGCTGGGTGGCTCCCCGGGTCGCTTTCAGGTGCCACGCGCTCTGCTACGTGTCTAGGGCCTATTCTCGCTGGGCCTCTATGACCACAAGTGAGGCCTGTCAACTGCAAGACACCGGGTCAGATGAATGAATGAGATGGGAACTGAGCCCAGAGCTGTGACTGGGAAAACCCTCTGTACTGATACACTCCAAATACGTCCATTTCAAACAGTTCAAACTCAAAAAAACCCCACAAGACAGAAAGAAGAAATCAGATTAACAACAAGCCACAAAGGCCTCACCCTCTGCTTCTTGCGGAAGCCTCTGCCACCAGGCTCCCAGGCTGGACGACATGAGAAGGACGCGCCAGGAGGGTGAGCCCCGGGAGAAACCCAAACGGCTCGCAGACAACAGTCTGCCAAGAAACACTGGAGGACACCGAGCAAAAAAGCCCCAGGGTGGAGAGGAGCAAAGGACAGAGAGCCGTGTCCCCAAACCAGGGCACAAGGGCTCCAAAGCCAAGCAAGGCCGGCCAACGCGAGAGGGCAGAGGACCAGGGCAGCTGCGACTCTGGAGGACTCAGAGTAAGAAACGCCCAGGTAGCCCAGTGGCTGGTGAAGACCAATAGGCCGCCAAAGCCCCTTGGAGGGGAGGAGCCGTGGGGCCACATGCCAGGAGGCCTGGCTGCTGCTGGACAGACTAGAGCCAGAGCCCGGAGCTGCCTGCAGTGGTCCGAGGGCCCAGTTCTCCTCAGCCGCCCCGAGGGAACATCGCAAAGGGACTCCCAGCCCAGGGCCTTGAAGAGGCTGTTGAGGAAATAATGCCAAGTGGAAAACCCCAGTGTCACAGCGTGAGCTCTGGCAACTGTGTTTGCTACCCGCAGCCACCAGGGCCCGAGATGGCCAGATGCCTGCTGGGCCCTGCGCTTTGCGGGGACGTGTTACCAGAGGGGGCTCGCTGGCTCCAGAACTGGCAGCGGGCCGGTGCTGAGAACAGGAGCCCAGCCCAGAGGCTGTCCCCAGACACTGCCACCTGGGCACCGGATCAATGGGCCCGGGGCTCCTGCCTCTCTTCCCTACAGAGCAAGCACACACGGGCCCCCCTGGACAGGGACGTGAGTTACAGGGTGGACGGCGAGGACATCGGACACGCTCTCTGTACCTGAGGCACCCGCCCAGGCCGGCCTGGGCTCTGGTACTCATTAGGCAGAACAAGGAGCAGCGGGCGCCTGGAGGCCGGGGGTTGCCAGGAGACGCGCGCAGCGTCCCCAAGAGGCCTGGCAGCCGCACCTCCCCAGGTGTGTGGCATGGTCCCAGGGCATGCTCTGAAAAGAAAGCCCTTACGTGGTAACACCCCGCAGGAAGACCGAGATGTCCTGGGGCATCACAGCTTCAAGACAGATGCCCACCGCCAGGCCCTGCGGGAGCAGAGCACCGCTGCAGTGGACAAGCCCGGGTTCCCTCGTCAGCCTCCCTCCCAGAGCTTGTCCCAGCTGACAGGGGACGGGGATGCCCCTGCCAACCATCCACGGACCACGCACAGGTCCTGCAGTCACCATGGCTCGCCATGAACAAGTTATCTTGCAGAAACATGTTAACCAAATTTAAGGCACTAGTGTACACAGACCAAATTCACACTTATTCTGAGAAATAACTGCCACCACATGCCACATACTGCAGCTCTGTGGGCCAGCAGGGAAAGGGGAACATGCCAGGGACAGCCGACACGTGTCTGAAGTGACAGTGGTGAGAATGACGCGGGGCTGCAGACCTGGGGTCAGGAAAGGCCTGTCTCCCTTCATTACTTCCGCTTCCTGTCTGTCCCCACCATCAGAATGGGGCTTCTCAATGTGCTCTTTTAGGTTTTCCTTGAAGAGAATACAACTGCTTTTTAATGGGGGGAAATAAAGTTACCTCAAAAAGTGAAACGATCTAGTGTTATTTTTCAACAGGGGTTTACCTACAGAATTGTAAGTAGGGAAACGAGGATTTTAATATAAACTAACCGCAAACAGGACATGGAAGAGTGGAGACACCTGGCCAGCACCCCCAGCTGGTGGCCCCGGTTGATGGCAGGAGGGACAGATCAGGCAGACATCGGTTCACCAGGCGACAGCATGAGGCGGCCACCACCCGTGGTCTTCCTCCTGGCTGAGGGATGGTCTACAAGATCCTGACTGGAGGTCCTCAGCCTGTCAAGGTCCCAAAACACAAGGAAAGTCTGAGACGGTCCCAGAGTGCAGGCGACTAAGGAGACAGGACGGCCACGTGGGCCCTGGGTGGCATCGCAGGACAGTAGGGCAGTAACAGAGAAAGGGGACACCTGGATAACCTCGCAGTTAGCAATCGTGACACAGGGAGGTTCTTAGTCGTGACACGCACCACGGTGACGAGGTGCTAACAATGGGAAACCAGGCGACGGTGCACGGCAGCACTTTGTACTGTGTTTGCAACGATTCCAAAATTTAAAGTTCATTAGAAAAATGTTTACTGTCACCTAAACACAAAGGAAACAAAAGGAAACGGTGCTTCCGTCCTCATGAAGTGCACTAGTGGTGATGCAGTCGAGGTCCCTGAAGGAGGAGAAGTCAGCCGGCTACGGCAAGCCCTGGGGAGTTCTCAATTCAGGCCCAACGCGGCCGCATGAGGGGGGAAGGTTCCGACACCTCAGAAAGCCCCCCCTGCTAAGAAACCGGTTAGCGTGTCACACACAGGGAAGCCCAGGTGCCAACGTGAGTCCTATCCTCTCGGACCAGGCTGGAAAATGTCATCGATAAACATGGATTCCTAATGTATATTAAAAATTCAGCACTAATCCTAAAATTTATTTTTGCCATATTATGACAGCCACATCAAAATATACATTTTACTGGCTCAAAGACTTGAGAAATAAGAGGACAATTAATCTTGATAACCGACGAACAATGGGCCATCCTTTTAAATATAACCTGGCTTACATTTACATCACGAGCACACTGAGCTCAGTGCTAATTAGCAGCTTTAAAACCGTGTCCAGACACGACCAGTCCGCTTCTGGGACTCGCTTCTATGGCAACGCTCACAGGACGCGGCTGCCTCCTTCCTGTCCTGTCACAGCACCAGGAAAAGGGGACATCCACCTTGGGCACCCGGTCCCGTCGGCCCAGGTACAGCCACACGACGGAGACCCATGCAGCCTTCAACGGGGAGACGTCCCTGTGCCTCCCACCTCACAGGCAGCTGGAGGGGATGCAGCACGACGCTGGCAAAACCACAAAGGGGCTTTACGTGTAAAAGTGCTGTTTAAGAAATTACCATTCAGAATGGTGGGGATGAGAGGGGGGATGTCGTTTAACTTACTTATACTTTTCCATCCTACTGGTTCCTTTTAAAAACGATCTTGGGGAGGCTGGGCTTGTGGCGCTCCCAGAGTGGGGGTTCAGGATCCCAGCCAGCAGATTTCTGATCAGGGTTGTTAAAATAAGTCTGTGGAAGCAAACCCCGTGACTTCTTAAAGCAAATCACTAGACTGCCAGTTGTGGTGAAATTAGATTCTGGAGTGGGTTATCGACCCCCTGGTTGCCTGGGTGGCTACATGAATACAGCCTCGGAGCAGACAGAAGAATACGTACATGGAGAGCTGCAGAATAAGTCCGGGGACGCACTTATTTGCAGAAACAGCGTGTTGTACATAAGCACCACAGAAGGATGTGAACACACCAAGAGTACAATACTTTTCATATGCGGAAATTATTTTTATGGGCGTTTTTAGTTCTTTCTGATATAATTTTTCCTATTTCATAATAGTTGGTGATTTTTCACTGACATGTAAAATAAATGTATAAAATTGTGAATTTAATTGTAAAGAATTCTTTTATATTTAAGTGTCAGTCATTTTCTTTTACCTCTACATCAGTGTGCAGCATGCAGAAAGAATAAAAAAAAAAACAATCTCATCTAAGTGTGTACAGTACAGCTCGCTTTATTGTGCTCCGCAGATAGAGGGAACATGAGTTACTTTTATATAAAAGAAGCATGAACTCTCGGGATTTGAACTTCACCTAAAACTAAAACCTACTTTTATAAATATTAGTTTATTTTCAATGTATTTCCAAAACTACTTTCACTTTTTAGTCACAGGTGCCCCCCTCAGAGAAGCACAGCAGGCCTGTGAGTGACAGCTAGTTCTGCCCCAACCCCCGCCCCCCCACACCTATCCGCCATCCCCCCACCCCATTTTCAGCTCCTCCAGCCAGGACGGTCGCTCCCTCCTCATGAAGGGCACTACTGGTTATGCAGGCCGCACTGGCGGGGCCCCTGGAGGCGGAGAAGCCACCTGCTACGGCAAGGCCAAAATGCTGGATGTCCCACGTCCACCAGAGTCCACAGCACCCATGAGAGTTCTGTGAAGCTGGACACACAGAGGCTGAAGAGAGCGAGACGAGACGGGGAGAGAAACGAGAAAGAGCGGGGATAGCCGCAATTCCCCAAAACAAAAGAGTACAAAAATCGACATGATGAGTAACTTGAAATGGGGTCTCCACCAGCATTCCATGGCACGTGGCCTCTCGTTACAGGTGCTGGGGCCGTGGCAAGCCTGAGATGGAAACTCCGTCCTCATTCAAACCGAACAAAACAGCCAACCAATGGGCAGAGGGGTGTGCCAGGGCCACAGAGTGCAGGCTGGCAGCGGGCACACGCTGCCAGTGCCTCCTGCCTCACCGCGTGTTTGAGCTTTTCATAAGGCAATGCTGGAGAAGTCCCCACTCTCC